AAGCCTAAATGAGTTTTTTCTATTTGTATTGGATCTGGCCCTGGTCATACTGGGAACCACTGGTTCTGTTCCCACATCTCCGTTACAAACCATCCCCTCCAGCCAGGGCCCACGCCTGCCGAGGCTCAAACCCTGGAGTCAACTCTGACCTCTCCGCACCCCTTTCAATCCACTCCGTTGCCACATCTTTCCTCTTTCTACCTCGGCTGCCCTCACTGCGGAGGCTCTCACCGCTGAAGTTCCTGCAACTCACTCATGCAGGGCCCATCATGGAAGTGCAGCTGCCCTCCATTCATTCTCCTGCTCAGATACCGCTGGCTGACGCTGGCTCCAGTGAAGCACACACTCCTGTCCTCAACAGGCAGCCCAAGGCAAGTTCAAATCTGGGACACCCGATGCAAACAGCCCTGTGGGCGTCCTGTGCGGGTCCCCCTCCACTGCAGTCTCAACACTAGGGGGGTGAGGGGGCTGACCGAGCTGTACTGTGCTGTGCTGACTGTGGCAAGTGCTGCCACGCTCTCCGAGTCCCCACACCCAACTGCCTCTCCCACGCCCGGGGGAAAGACAGGACCAGAACGAGCAGAAATTCAATCATGAATGGAAAAGACCAACATTCGACCTCCACAAAGGAATGAAACTACGAAAGAGGTGGGTTGGGGACACCCAGAGAAAAGGGAGGTACATTCGGGAGCACAAACAAAAATAAAAGAAATTCCCCCGTCGGCGTGGCTCGGTGGTTGAGCATCAATCAACCCAGCAACCAAAAGGCCACGGTCCGATCCCGGTCAGAGCTCACGCCTGGGGGCGGGGGGGGGGGAGCAGGAGAGAACCAGTGGGTGATCCTCACTCCCTTCCTCTCTCTAAAATCAGTAATAAATAAATAAATAACATTTTTAAAATACTCATTGATTTCAAAGCCATCTTCTGCTACCCGAAATCACTGCCAATGTCTGCAGGGGGAATAAAAGGGATTTTTGGAATATACAAAGGTTCTGTGGGATATAGGCTGGGGGGTGTGGGGAGAGCAGGAGAAGGGGGGGAGGTGTTGAGGGGGAAAAAGGATCAACAATGGGAAATGTGTTTTTCCTGCCCAAGCGTCCAATAGGAGTAAACACAGGGATATGCATAGCACGGAGACCCTGCCACCAAAGCAGGGATTTCTCAATCAGACCCAGAATGGAACGGGTCCTATTCCCTAACGTACGGTAAGATCCTGACCAAGTTCTCAGAGGCTAATAAACCTCCACCCCGAAGTGGACACCTTCCCCTTCATGGCACACGTTTTGGCAAAGGAGAGCCGCCGGCACAGCACTGCCTCAGACTTTCCCGCTGCGGGAAGGGGAGCTTGCATTGCACGTGGCCCTCCCACACCCCGGGTGGAACAGCTAAATGTCGGAATCCCAAGAACTTCCCATGCTCCTTTACAACGGCTCATGAGCTGACACAACCCTCGGCAACCTGCGGGTAGACGCAGAGGCTTCCCGAATGAGGGCTGAGTCAGCCTCGGGAGGTGGGTCCAACCTTGTGGTGAGGAAAAAGCCTTTGTCCCCACAGAGGCGAGGCAGCCGATCTTTCCAGCATCCCCTTTAAGACCTGAGGCAACGAAGCCCAAATCCATACCCGGCAACTCACCCTGCTCTCACAGGGAAAACAAACAAAACGGAATGAATTCTTTTCCTTCCTCACCCAGCCTTTTTTCTTTTCTTGTGTTTTCACCTCTGCAGAGGCCGGGAACCCGCTCTGAATTCCTCAGATGTGAAGCCCAGAAGCCCTTTCTAGAAGACAGGGTACCAGGTGGGCAGGCAGGACAGCCAGGGGGAAGGGGTTGAAGCCATGGACCCCCCCACCCCTGTTCCCAACATCAATAACACTCGGGAATCGCTCAGCCCTGATGCGAGTCAAGCTTGTGATACTCCACAACAGTCCCGGGAAAGGGATGAAAATGAACCGAGAAAATGGCCCCTCTGCTCCCTCACCTACAAATTGTCAATGTGCACATCATGTTCTCATGACTTCGTTTCTTCATGTTTAGTTATTACCGATGCATCATCAGCTCAGGTCCTGAAACCCCATCATAGGTGGAGCTGTGCTCTGGACACAGAGTTCCTGCCAGCGGCAGGGGACCCGCGTGGGGGCTTTCCCAGTTTAGTTTTGTTAGGGTAATTCAGATGACACAGAAAATTAGGGGAGAGGCCATGCGTGACGTGGGGTATCAAGAAAGGTGACCCAGCCGAAACCGGTTTGGCTCAGTTGGATAGAGCGTGGGCCTGCGGACTGAAAGGTCCCGGGTTCGATTCCGGTCAGGGATCGAACCCGGTTGCAGGCACATGCCCTGTGGGAGGTGTGCAGGAGGCAGCTGATGGATGATTCTCTCGCATCGATGTTTCTAACTCTCTATCCCTCTCTCTTCCTCTCTGTGAAATCAATAAAATATATTTTAAAAAAGAAAAGAAAAGAAAGTGACCCAGGAGGGCGAAGGCTGAGTCTGGAGGGAGGAGCAGGAAGATTCCAGGTAGAGAGGCTGGAGACCATGGGAAAGAATTCCAGGAAAACGGTTCTCTGCCCAAAGGAGGGATTCTGAACCTGGACTTCCCAACGGATGGGAAGTGTAAGAGTTTAAGAGCATAAACATAAAGAAACCAGTGCCTCTCACAATGAGGCCCACGAGGATGAATTTAGAAGCTCGGCAGCATTCCCGGTAGGAAATCTGGAAAGCAGAGAGCCTCGGGAAGAAGGAAGAGAGATCTGATGGTTTTCTCCCAAGGAAAACAGATCCGCCCATTCTGAGCCGGCGTGGGAGGCAGCAGGCCTAAATTACACTGGAGCTTCAGCTCAGAATCTGGGACTCCAGGCAAGTTTGTTCTCTCCGAGTCCCCATTTCCTCATTTTTTAGAACGAAGGTAATAACATGTAAATCACCAGACGGAGGCAATGCATGCAAGTTGTCTAACCTATACACTAAGTGGTCAGATTATGATGATTTCTGAATGCATAATAATCTGACCAGGTGCATGAATTCGTGCATGGGTGGGGTCCGGTCAGCCTGGCCAGGGGAAGGGGACGTGGACAGTCGGACGGCCTGCCTGCTAGTCGAACTCCTGGTTGAGGGGACAATTTGCATATTAGCCTTTTATTATATAGGATATACACTGAGTGGCCAGATTATTATGCGTTCAGAGATCATAATAATCTGGCCACTCGGTGTAGATGCTCAATAAACAGGACCTGTCACCATCACATAAAAAGCATGAAAAAGTGTCCAATTAAAAGACAAGTGAGAGACTATGAAATTGCAATGTCTTGGGGGAAAGCTGAGTCTGATCTGTCTTGCACTTCTATACACTACATTTTCACCCAAATAGCAGACGGCCTTCTAAAAGTCACATCGCACCTTCACAATGGGGTGTCGCTTAGGTCCAAGAGCGTAACCAGCGCCTGATTACCCACTTGAGATTAATCCCTTCTATACCCTGCCTAAAGAGTTTGAAATTTTAGGCTGGCCAAGAATCTAGTCAAGAAATTTTTATTTACTTTTATTGATTTCAGAGAAGAAGGGAGAGGGAGAGAGAGATAAAAACATCAATGATGAGAAAGAATCAGCATCGATAGGCTGCCTCCTGCACGCCCCACACCGGGGATCAAGCCCACGCATGTGCCCTGACCGGGAATCGAACCGTGACCTCCTGGTTCATCGGTCGAACCTCAACCACTGGGCCTCGCCGGCCGGGCAATTCAAGAAATTTTTCATGAGTGTCTTTGCACCAGACACCTTGATAGATCTTTTCAGGGTCTCTTCACCACCCAGAAGAAGCAAAAGGCAAAGTTCCAGTCTGTCATGTACGAGATGCTTTAGATTAGGGGTGTCGAACTCAATCAGAGAAGGGGCCAAAATCTAAAATCCAGCCTAAATCACGGGCCAAATGATTTACTGAACAGTCATAAACTGTCATTGTGATGGAAACGCAGCAGAGTGCAGTGATGACAGTGCGGTACGGGCCACATTGCAAGGCCTGGCGGGAAGGATTTGGCCCGCGGGCCTTGTGTTTGACACATGTGCTTTAGACACACAATTGCAATGAGTCCTCAGAGGTCTGCAAGTCTTTACAAGAAAAAGCAAAGCGATCAGTTCTTTCACTCGTTCCTTCATTCACTCGTGTTTCCCACGGAAACATCCTTTGGCACCGAATCGGTATAAAGGAAGGGCAGGAAGTCATCGCCCTCATGGGGCTTCCGTTTGAAGGGAGAACGGTAAACATCTAGCTCTCACCAGGCCACCCGAAGATGTGTCACCCAGAGGACCCATGAGGATGAGAAGGATCTGGCTGGGAGGTCAGGAAGACCTCTGCTGGGTGCCCTGTCAGCGGGGCTGCATGTGGAGGAAATAACGGGAACAGCGCAGGGAAGCCCAACACGCACGAGTTCAACCCGACAGAGACACACGTGGAAGAACGTCTGTCACATCTGAGAACGAGGAGCTGTCTGCTGCAAGAATGAGCAGGTCATATGGGGGCGGGGGGAGAGGGGCAGGTGCCAATGGAGGATAGAGGCAGGCGGGCACTGAATGGTGAAGAGTTGTGAGTGCCAAACACAGGCGTTACCTTTGTTGATTACATTTAACAATGCAGTGTATGTACTAAGAGACCTGTTGGGGAGTGGAGGATCTTAGCTACAAAGACAACGGCATTAACAGGGGTTCTGGCTCCATGGCTCTCAGTGACAGCACCGCTTCCCTCCCCCCTCCCAACCCCCACCCCACCACACCAGCAGGCAATATCCTTCTTGCCTTAACATATCATCTTTAACGTTTCCCCTCTCTCCTTTCCTTAACTGGATACCAGGAAATTAAGCAAACATGAAGAGTCTGAGGACACAGCTTTGGGGGAGGAGAGGGAAGAGGAGGGTAGGGAAGGGGAGAGGACGGGAGAGGACGGGAGGGGAGGGAAGAGGAGGGGAGGGGAGGGCATGGGATGCCAGGCGGTCAGCCTGAGAGGCCTCCTCACCTCTCCAATTCAGCCGCAGCAGCTGGAGTCTCTGATCTGCTTCCACTCACCCCGAATCCCAGTCGTTGTCAAAGGCCATCTCTCTCTGGGTGTTCCTTCCTGTAAGGTAAAGGCTCCATGACTCCCCATTCATGACCTTGGTTCACTCGGGCACCATCTTCTCTTTGGGGCCCAATTGAACATCTGACATCAAATTTCCCCCAACAACCACCTCCATCTCGAGAGAGAGAGCGCAAGAGAGAGCTCGCCAATATGCTCCAACTAGAAAGCGTGACCTGAGCTCAGAGCCTTTGCACGTATCTCACAATCCTCACGCCCTCGCCGTCTTCCCCACTCCGCTCTTACCTCGCTTCATCTCCTGGGGAAGCTCGTGAGAAGTGTGTGCCCCTACCAGCCATTCACACGGGGTGCAGGGCTCTGTGCCGCCACCCGGACCGTGCGCCTGGGGTCCTCCTGGCCCCCACCGAAGGGGCACTGTTCAAGGCGCCCTTGGCTCTTACACTGCAGTGTCCCACGTTAAACCATCAGAGAAGGTAGGGGAGGGGGGTGGGGAAAGGGATAGAGATCAACCAAAGGACTTATATGAATGCATATAAGCCTAACCAATGTCCACAGACAACAGGGGGGTGATGGGGGAATAAGGACACATATGTAATGCCGTAATCAATAACTAAAAAAAAAAAAAAAAAAAAAAACCACAACCCCACGTGCTGGCTTCTTAAGAGGCTTTAAGCGCCTGGGGCAGCGGTAGGACCACAGGGAGAGGGAAAGGAGGGGCGGAGACCCCTGGGCGAGTGAGCCCAGTGACAGCAGGACCGCAGGGCCCGCTCACCGCTGCCCCCTCATCCATCACAGCCCCTCAGAAACCGTTCACTTTCCAGCCCTAATGCACCCGCCTCCACCGCACCCTTGGTCCCGCCGAGGAGAAGGAGGAGGAGGAGGAGGAGGAGGAGGAGGAGGAGGAGGAGGAGGAGGAGAACGCCGCGGGGAATGCAAAGGCCTCCCGTCGCCTCGCAGGTAAAGGGCAGAGAGGCCACGCCGAGGGCAAGGCTGCATCACCCAATGGCCCAACGACTCCAGCCGGCGCTCGCCTGGCAGGGAAGGGCTGGGTGATTCACGGCGGGGCGGGGGCGGGGGCGAGGGCCGGGGGATGGATGGGGATGTAAAAAAAGGAAAATCCAGGAAACACCCAGAGGAAGTGGTTACCGGATCCCGAAGCCCGGCCGTCACGTCCAGGGGCCCTAAGGCACCCTCAGCGCCCGGCGGCTGCTCCGCGCTCAGCCTCCGCTCGGCCGCCTCCCCGCGCCTGCACCCGGGGCTGAGCCTCCGCATGCTCCTGGGTGCGGGCAGCAGCTGCGCCCCCCACCCACCCACCCGCCCACCCGCCGGCAGACAGGGGCTCTGGCCCCGGGAAGCCTAAGCGGCCACCCTCCCGGCGGCCAGCGGTCGCCCCTCTCCACCCACCCGTCCTCCGGTGCCGCCGCCCGGTCAGATGGCAGCCCCGCTGAGTGGGGCTGGAATGGAGCGGAGGGGCGGGGAGGAGAGCACATTTCCTAAGGATCCAAGAAGCCGCGCTGTCCCCTCTCCCCCATCCCCTCCCGGAGCCCCCACAGTGGGGCCGGGGGCGCGGGCGGACGCGGCGCGGGGAGCGCGGCCGGTGCCCGGCGGCAGCTGCACACAAAGCCCTGCATCCCCTGGCCTCCCGGCTCCTCCCGGGCGGCGCTGCTCCGAGGGTCTCGGATGCCCCCTCCGGTGGGCGGCGGGACGGTCCCCGTCGCATCTCAGCCTCCTCCTCCCCGCCCCTCGCCCCGGACCCCGACAGCAGCTCAGCCCGGCGTTTGGGGGCCGCGGGAGCACACACCCCCGCCCCCCGCCTGCGCCCCGGAGGAGCGGACAGCGGTCGGGTCTCCGAGGCGCACCTTCACCCAGCCGGTCCGCCGCCCACCCTGGGGCGCACACCCACCCCGGCGGCGGGCGGAGCGGGTCCCGATCAGTCGGGTCTGCGGGCGGCGGGCGGCGGGGCGGTCCGGCCGCGGGCGCGCTCCTTCCTACCTGCGGGCGGCGGGCGGGAGCGGGGGCGGCGCCGGCCCCGGTGCGGCGGCGGCGGCTGCAGCGCGCTGGCTGGCTGGCTGGCTGGCTCGCTGGCTGGCTCGCTGGCTGGCGGGCAGACTGGCGAGCTGCCCGGCTGGCTCCTCGCCGGGGCTTCCTGTGGGGCTGGACAAAGGACATTTCCTGGGAGGAGCAGGGGACCGCTCCCGGCATGCCTCGATTTGTAGTTCCCGGGGACTTCCTGCCACCGCAGCATCCCCGAGCGGAGGGGACCCGGGGACTTGGGGATGTAGGGGGTGGGGGGAGGCGCTCCCTGCAGCCCTGAGCGCCCCGGGAGGGGGGTCGCGCCCTGGGCCCCGCCGCGCGCTCCGGGGACGCGGGCGCCGCCGGGAGTTTGCGCCCCGCGCGGGCGGCGGTCCCCCCTCGGGGCTGGCGCTGCGGGAAGACCCTGCGTCGGAGCGGCTTTTCTATAGAAAGGAGGAACTTGCCTTTTCATCATTTTCTTTTTCTGGGTTCCTTTCCTTTCTTTCTTTCTTTTTTTTAAATGTTTTTTTTTAACACATCAGCTTTTATTTTATTTTTTAAAATATATTTTATTGAGTTTTTACAGAGAAGAAGAGAGAGGGATAGAGAGCTATAAACATCGATGAGAGAGAATTACTGATCAGCTGCCTCCTACACACCCCCTACTGGGGATGTGCCCGCAACCAAGGTACATGCCCTTGACCGCAATCGAACCCGGGACCTTTCAGTCCGCAGGCCGACGCTCCATCCACTGAGCCAAACCGATTTTGGCTTCTTTTTTTTCTTTTTTCTTTTTTTTCACCTCCCGAACCCCCCCTCCCCCCCGGGGGGAGCAGGGAGGCGGATTAAGGAACTTGACCGCTCGCTGCTCACTAGGAATTCAGGTTCCTTAAGATCTTGGCGCTCGGTCCTCAGAACCAGAAGGGCTGATTGTTCCCAGCCTGACCCTCACCGTGACATTCCTCCTCCGAGGCTGGCCGTGTCCCCAGGCATCTTTTCAAGAAAAGTAATTAAAGGAAACGATGGAGAACACACTTCATGAACTAACAGTAAGTCACGCAAAAAACAAACAAACAAAAAAACCACCGTGTGCTGCTGAATTAGGAACGACTTGGACTTTCTGCTCATCTCCCCCGCATTCACCTTCAGGAGTCAGTTTCCTGGATCCTACAAAACCGACGCGCAGGCCGCAGCTGCACGCCTGGGGGCGCGGGGGGAGGGGTGGGGGCGGGGCAGGGGACGGGTGGGGTTAGGGGAGGAGGACCTTGGCTACAAGAGAGGAACTCCACCTCCAGCCTGTCAAGAGCCTATCACAGCCTCCACACATTCCTGTCTAATTCTGGAACTGCATACCGGGGCCCTCTTGGGAAAATCAAGAGACGAATGACTGAAGCTGTGTTCTCTCGCAAGGCGCTGGGAAAAGAGGTTCTAGGATGCTCTAAAACCTGTCCGAAAAAAATAGATATAATTACCTGTCATATCGGGGTGAGGGATTTAGTTTACATTTAATAAAAGCGTAGCCAGCCCGACCCGGTTCGGCTCAGTGGATAGAGCATCGGCCTGCAGACTGAAGGGTCCTGGGTTGATTCCGGTCAAGGGCACACGTCTGGGTTGTGTGTTCGATCCCTGGCGGGGTCGTGCAGGAGGCAGCCGATTGGTGACTCTCATCATTGATGTTTCTCTCTCTCTCCCTCTTCTTCTCTGAAATCAATAAAAATGTATTTTTTTAAAACTGTATCCACTTTACTGCTGTTGTTCCCTTTCTCAGGAGAGGGAGAGCCTCAGCCACAGGGAGAAGATGAGCTGGATTCATTTCAGATGCAGAGCTGATGAGAAGTGATGGATGGGAGCACCTCCCTCCCCCAAGTTCTTGTCGCAGGTCCCTGATGACTGTCTGTCTACCAGGACTCAATGTGCTGTGATCCTTGCATTTTCCTTACAAACGACTGTTCCTTCAGGGTTTGCAGCCTGGTAACATGCTAACGAAACTGCCCTCCACCCCTCAAAACAAAAAGGGGGTAGGGGAAGGTTATTGATCATCATTGGCCAATCCAGCAACCTCTTCTTAGTGTTTAGCTTGAAAAGATGATACACTCGCCTATTGCATTTAACATTGTGTACTGGAGTGGTGCTCTGCCTTGCCCTCTCCATTTCTTTTCTTTTCTTTTTTAATATATTTTATTGATTTTTTTACAGAGAGGAAAAGAGAGGGATAGAGAGTTAGAAACATCCATGGGAAACATCGATCAGCTGCTTCCGACACACACCCACTGGGGGTGTACCCACAACCAAGGTACATGCCCTTGACCAGAATCGAACCTGGGACCCTTCAGTCCACAGGCTGACGCTCCATCCACTGAGACAAACCAGTTTTGGTATTTCCTTGATGATGAGAGCTCCTTGGGGATGTCTGAATGCTGGTGGGAAAGGTCTCGGAGAGAGGCCTGAGGGCCAAGAAAGAGGGAGAAGAGATAAGAGATGAGGCATTCAACACATACTTTGGGAATTAACCAATTCCTGCCGCCAATCACTGTGGAAGATGGTGAGACTGAAATTAACGAACTGCACATTCCCAGCTAAGACAGCAGTCTGAGGCCAGACAGAAATGGCATTCCTTTCTCCTCCTCAGGCGCCCTTCCCCCCGCCCTTCACGTCCTGAGGGTGGGAGGGAAAGGTGAGAGAAAATCATTCAAGAAGCCCTAGCCGGGTTTCTCAATAGATAGAGCATCGGCCTGGGAACTGAAGGGTCCTGGGTTCGATTCCAGTCCAGGGCACATACCCGGGTTGCAGGCTCAGTCCCCAGTGGGTGGTGTGCAGGAGGCAGCCGGTCAGTGGTTCTCTCTCATCATTGATGTTCCTGTCTCTTCCTCTCTGAAATCAATAAAATATATATATTATATTGATTTCAGAGAGGAAGAGACATATATATTTTTTTAATTTTAATTTATTTTTTTAATCATTCAAGAGGCATTCTAGCAGGTTCCAAAGGCACACAGCAATATCAGGGACATCTAAATGTGTTAGCCCGTGGGTTTGAGTTTTATCATTATTATTTTAATCAAGCAAGTATTTTACCCTTGGTGTTTTTTTTCCCTTCATTTATTCTCATCCTCACCTTTCTAAAAGGGAATTATTAATTGAAAAAAAATAATAACAATAATATCAATTTTATGTGCATTTAGATATATTCCAGGATTTAAAAATATATTCCATAAATATGCCTATATTTCTTGGAATGTTGCTTTAATTACTATAGCATTAAGTTTTTAAATATTTGGAAGAATAATCTCTTGTAAGTATGCTTTTTTTTTTTTTTTCCTAAACTACTTCCTCACACTTGCATGAAGAAACTATTCTAATGTAAAA